GTTTCCTGTAGTAGATCCACTCCTTCTCCATGTTAGGCATAGACTCTTCCTGTGACTCAGAAACAGACCTTCTTTTACAATAATATGTGGCTGAAGCAGATTCATCTCTGTAATACCAAGAGGAGGTTATTTCTGGGTGTGCATTCCATTTGGTTTGAGATGAAGTCAGGAAAAGTTTTAGATTTCACTCATCTGAAGAGATCAGCTATCAACCAGTGCTGCTGCAATTGCAACCCAGTGTACACAGACTTTCTAAAGAATGCAATGATCCCACCAAAACTCCCATCTCCTCTATATTCTTCACCTACTTTATATTCTAACAGTGAGACAAATAGCATATCTGAAGAATGACAAATGATATCTACCCCAAGACTTTTCATTCTGGGGCTTATCTAAACAAAAATCCCTTTGGAGGAGTGTTGAGCTATGGGCAGTGTGGGCAGGGCTGTAAAAGAGATGTTAGTTTTTCTTTTTTAAAAAATCCAGAAGTTCTTCTTTAGAATAAATAACACTCTGTTCAACATGTGAAAGAACTCCAAAATGTGCAGCACACTCACCTGTGTTCCACAGCAGCCACTATAAAGCCCTGAGAAGCCATCTCTATGCAAATAGCAGAATAGATTGTCCTGCAATAAAAACCACACTCTGGTGAGAAGTCAGTCTTTCAATTCCTTTGCTCTTTAAATGCTGACCACACTAGGTATGCACTAGTCTCCACTCAGTATTTATTCTCTTTGAATTTGCTACCCAGCAGAGTAAGATTTCATATGCCAGGCACCAAAGCCTGTTCACAAAACCTTGGTACTCTTTTACTGTCTGTTCAGAAAGGAAAATGCCACTGATTTTTAATAAGTAGCACACACAGCACTTTGCATCTTCAAAGAGCTGTCCAAAAATCAACCAGCTGATCTTCACAACCTCCTCATGGGCTGGTAAATATCTTCACCTCCATCATACAGAGGGAAAACACAAATGGAGTTCTGAGCAACCTGGTCTAGGGGAAGGCATCCCTGCCCACAGCAGAGATTATCTTTAAAGGACCCTTCCAATGCAGGCTGTTCTATTATTCTGTGACCAACCATACACCAACCCTGCTGTTGTTTCAGTGGGAGCATAATGACACATGGAAGCAAATCTTTCAGCTCCACAAGGATCTCACCCCCCTACTGAAAATCTGTTCAGAACCACCCTTGGAGATGCTGTCTCCATAGACAACAAAAACAGTTTGTCAATAAACTGCAAAATTACCGAAAAGCTCCAAGTCCATGGGAAAAAACAAGAAGTGGGTATTTTTCTCCTGGCTTAAAAGCAGCATTTGACTTTGCAGGACAGGTCACTGAACCTAAATAAAAATGGAAGTGTACATCATTATTACTGGAATGAGAGAAAGCATTTGTTCCTGTGGGAGAGATCTACAGCTGACCACTGGTATCAGAGCAATCACCTAAAGATAAGGTTCCAAGACTCATCTTTAAAACAGAAGATAAATATGGATCTGATTCTGAAAATAATTTCTACTTGGCAGAAGATACTTCTCCTCCTCCCATCCACAGCCTGGCACAAGGTCTACATATTTGTTAAATCTTCATAGTCAGGCATTCAGATCTTGCTGATATTCAGACCCTAGGATCTCTCTTTTATATCTTTGCACATTTCCTTGTGAGATTTAAATCACAACACACAGGTACAGCTGACCTAGAGCAAACTGCCCAGACACTCCTATCCAAAGCAAGCAGAGACTGCCTGAGAACTGGGGTCACATTCAGCAGCCTCACTACACAAACCCATCCCACAAAAACACACTTCTTTACTAAAAACTCTTCTTCAGCCCTGCAGCAGTAGCACCCTGCTCATGGAGCATGGAGGTAGCAACAGGCAAGGAATAAAAACAGAATAAGTCTTACCAACATAATAATGGAAAAGCCTTTCTCCTACAACTCGGTACATATTAAGGAAGTCAGAGAGTCCCTGATAGTATTCTTTGTCTGGAATCCATCGTGCCTCTTCGATATCTGTGGCATCATATGCTGGATAATACAGGCGCAAAAAGCTTCCCTGGGATTAGGAAAAATTAAAAAAAAAAAAAAAAAAAAAGGAATATTGGTATTTATTCATATATGGCAGAGAAAACAGAAGATTAAAACATTTACAGAAAAGATTTTGGTTGCAAGAATGCAGTTCAAGAGAATTATGAGAATGCCATGAGAAAATTATTATCATATACAGAATTTGATGCCAATCCTGTATCACAATCTTCTGAGCCTACAATGAATTTACAGTAACATGACATATACATCATCACAGGTGGAGATACACATCACCTTCCCTAGGTTAGCTTAGGGCTTATTAGAAATGCTTCATTTAATTAAATTATTACAAACACTCACTACCTATATGCCTGATCCAGCATCTTGCTGGATCTTTTCTCCCGTCTTCTTCACTGGGAATGGTTTGATGACGTGTTTTGTTAAGTTTTATAGGGCTGACTATTAAAGGAGTGACTGAAGATGACCTCAGAGCTGGAGCACCTCTCCGAGCATGACAGGCTGAGAGAGCTGGAGCTTTTCAGCCTGGAGAAAATAAAGGTCTCTAACGTGGCTGTAGTGATCCTGCCTAAACTGAGCAGAGGTTGTCAGCAAAGCTCTTGGGCAGCTGCACAGCAAGGGAGAACTATACATTGATTGCTCTTCCTCCTCATCAAGATGTTCACAAGTCTCTTGTGGTACATCTTTCTAAACACAACTTTGTTAGCCTATGTTTCATCTGACTCTGTTTCTTACCACCAGTTCAAATCTCCTACTGTCTGCACTCCAGGTATCCCAGGAAAGTACCCAAGCTTTCCACACTCAGAGGGACCTTCCATTCCGCCTTGTCAGTCTTTTCCTTCACAGACAGCAGCAGTATACCAATGTACACCACAAACAGACTTCCCAGCAGATGAACTGTGTGCAATTTGCATTTTTATTTCCTGGTTTGCAAGGGAATTTGCAAAACCCCACTCAAAATCACTGTCTTGCTTCAGCCGTACTTTTGGTTTAGCAACTTACAATCAGGGCCAAAATAAACATGAGCTTTGAAATAAAGCCTGATTCCTTGAACACTAATTTATCAGTTTACCAAAAGTTTGTTTAAGGAAGCTTGCTTCTATTTACTTATCAAACTTAAATCAACCTTTGACACAGAGACCATTATGGAAAAACTTTCCTCCACACTGGTAGCGGTATTACCTTGATCTCAGAACAGTCCCTGTGAACCTTCCCAATGGCTACATGATTACTAGAAGGAGGAAGAGGTTCATTACTTATGCCTGAGAGAACTACAATTGTTCATAATGCTTATGTAAAAAAAACCCACATGCAAAACTGACTGCAAAAAGAAACTCATCACTTATCTGTGCTGATGTAGACTAAGCTCAGTAAAGGAAAACATGTGAACCATTACAAACTGATCACAAGTTCCACTACATCAGGCTACTCTGCAGAGTAAAACCACGGTATAAATACAGGTGTATTCCCTCAAGGGCAAGAGGATTTGAAATGGAAACTCACAAGGAAGCTCATTACTTGTCTGGTTACTGTCCCTAACAGTAACTATTGTGGCTTCTTACTGTGCTAACTTCTTGCCAAACTGACATCCTGTTCATCTCCAGTGAGATAAAATCTCAAGAAGACATCTCATCTTTTACTCTGCAGCTGAAATACTGCATAGGCTAATCTCCCAACCCTGCCAAATTCAGTTGGGATCTTTCTGATGAGAACAGCCACAGAAACAGAGACTGTGTGTGGAGTCTCCGCAGGAGCCCGGCACAGGAGAGAGCAGTGGGGTGGGTGGGAAGAACCCCTTGGGTCCCAGGAGAACACAGTTTCTCTGCAGCATCTTGTGTAGGAGAGTCAGAAAGGCAAGGACATTAGAAGAGGGAGGAATTGGCCATGGAAAAGGCTTGCAGGTTACATCCATATGGTAAACACCCAGTTTACATCCTACACCAGGACAGAGAGGATCAAAAGCTCAGCTGTAAGTGTCAGCATAGAGTACACAAGCAAGACCTTCTGCTTTAAAACTGCAGCCAGTTGTTTCACTAATATTGTGGCTTAAATCCAAAGGAGAAAGAGTAGAAAGCTTTACCTCAACTGCATTTTCTGTCATCAGGTCTGTACATCCAACCGAATGTGGTCCCTTTCCTTCAGGGATCCTGTAAAACTTCTCAGTGCTGCTGGTGCTCGACATTTCCATTGGTGCCTTCACTGACAAACACGGGGAAAAACACAAAGCAAATCAAGAGACCACCATGGCCTCTGTGACCAGACCACCCACACTGAAACAAATCCAGCACGCTGAAAATCTAGAATTAGGAAAGTCAAGATAGAGCCAATACCAAAGTCTGCTTTTGAGAAACAAAAAAAAATCCCGAATTGTCAATCTGACCTGTTCTACTGGGGATTTTCCTTGTTGTATCCTGAATCCCAAGGAGCAGACAACACCGTGCACTTACAGAAAAGTGGGATGAAACCTTTGCCTGGTGAGGCCGCGGCGGCACTCGGGAGATCTGCGGCGCTACGAACCGCACAGAGAGAGGATTCTGCTGCTCCTCAAGGAAAACCGGCCTGTGCATCAGGGGGAGTGGGATGTCACGGAGAAACACAACGCCGCTGCCATTTTTCCAGCAGGAATGACGAATGCCAGGCTCGGCCCCTGGCGAGACAAGGTCAGGCTGCCCGTGCCGGAGCGGGTGTCGGGACGATGTGGCCGTACCTGGGTTGACCCCTCCGCGCCGGGCTGGCCCCGGCGATGCGCAGCGCGCGGGGGGAAGCAGCCGCATCCCAAGCTGGGCTCTATTTGCCGCCTTCTCCTTGGGGAAGGAGACACGGAGCCATCCTGCTCCCGGCGCCCCGCTGCCCGGCCGGGCTCCCCCGGGGCGGGCCTGCCGAGGAAGCACCCCCGGGGCGGGGCTCGGCTGCTCCTCCCCGGAAAAGCCGCGGGACCGGCGGCCGCCCCGCCCCGGAAAGGTCCCTCTCCGGCAGCGGCGCGGCGGATCCCGGTCCCGCCAAGATGGTGCGGAAACTGAAGTACCACGAGCAGAAGCTGCTGCGGCGGCTGGACCTGGTGAACTGGGAGGCGTCGGGCGGGAACTTGGCGGAGGTGCGGGCGCTGCGGCGGTACCGGGTGGGCCGGCGGGAGGACTACGTGCAGTACAAGGCGCTGGCCCGCGCCGTGCGCGCCCTGGCCCGGCGGCTCCGCGACCTGGGCCCGGCCAGCGCCGCCTTCCGCGCCCGCTGCGCCGCCGCGCTGCTGGAGAAGCTGCACGGGCTGGGGCTGGTGAACAGCCGGCAGTCGCTGGCCGTCTGCGAGAGCCTCTCGGCCGCCGCCTTCTGCCGCCGGCGCCTGCCCTGCCTGCTGGTGAAGCTGCGCATGGCGCAGAACCTGCGCCACGCCGTCACCTTCGTGGAGCAGGGGCACGTCCGCGTGGGGCCCGAGGTGGTGACGGACCCCGCGCTCCTCGTGCCCCGCGCTGTCGAGGACTTCATCACCTGGGTGGACGCGTCGCGCCTGCGGCAGAAGGTGCTCGACTACAACCAGGAGCGCGACGACTTCGACCTGGCCGCCTAGGGCTGCTGCCCTGCCTCACGAGACACGCACACTCATATGATCACGGCACGGGATATGCACACAAAAGGAAACTGTGTTTCCAGGGTCGTATTGACCTGCTGCTGGTTCCCTTTTGCAGCTAATGGTTCCATTCATCCATGCATTAGGAACTACCTTTACACATCCACTGCTTTGAGAATGCATCCAGTGGCCCAGCTCCATCATCGTCCCTGGCATTCCTAGTTTCACTGTCAGCCCAGCAGCTCAGCTCCATCATCATCCTCAACGTGCCCAGCTCCATCATCATTCCTGGCATGCTGTCCTTGTTTAGGGAAAATTTTCCTTCTCTCTTGCTTCACTCTCAGATCTAGTTTTAAAGGTGCAGAACTTATTTCTGGGCTAAAGAGACAGATGGGGGTACCAGCATGATAAAGTCACCTCAGGACACATGCTCAGCTCCATCATCATCCCCAGCCCAGCTCCCTCATCCTTAAAAGTGCATCTCCATCATCCTTTGGAATGTGCTTGGAAAAGTTGCTGCCCAGTTGCAGGAGAGGATTTAGGTCAGGCTTACGTGCTTGGCAGCTTAATAGCAGCTGCTGGAAGGGGTTTTAACCCAAGCCAAGTGTCTGTTTTAAGACTGAATTTAGCTGCTTCGCTGCTCTTTTTCCAAGAGGTTGTCCTGGTTTCTCCTTCAGCTGTTGAATGCACAGAAATCAGTTACTTCTGGAAGGGTTATCTCTTTATATCAAGGAATAAGGAGGGAATGTGGGGATTTCTGGGGGTCAGCAGTAAACAAGAAGGCCAAATACCCGGTTTCTGAAACTGTTGAAAGTTTTAGCCAAAAAACGGAATTAAAAACAAAACAAAAAACTTTATTGTCATGTGAAGTTGTAAAGGGAAGTTTGATGCTTTGAGTTGTGTCTTTCTTGTATGGGGTTCCAGATGAGTACTAGACATAATTTATGGACCAGGATCTAACTGGGGAGCTGTTGGAGCAGAAGCTGATCTAACCATAACTGCAGATTTGGGGGAACTTTTGCATTTAGCATATTAGCCAGGGGCCACTGGAAATTTGTTCCCTTTTGATAAAAAAAGCAGAAGAAAATAAAACTCTTGGATTGTTTAGTTTGTGAAGAAATGTGTGGACTGCTTTATGATATAACTTATCTGAGTTTATTCTGATTTTTAAGCCCTGTTTGCCACCTTTCTGAACTTTTTAAAAGTTTTTATGTAACTTACTTAAGTCTGGTTTTGTTTTATTTTATTAGCTAGAAGGCTATTACTGAGTTGTAACATGTTTATCCTAGGAATGCTCTCTTTTCCTTACCTGGGGCTATGAAAGGATTTGGCAGTAGGTTTAGGAGCAGAGCTGTGACTGTCCATCCCAAATCCAAAGAGCCGGAGTGCAGCTACTGTCAAAGCTCTGGATGTGGATGCCTTTGTGGCTTTTTTGAACAAAAAAAGTTCCGGTGAGATTTATTTTGGAAGTATTGCATGCCCACAATCTGTCACCAAATATTATGTCATGTTTTTATAGGGCAAACAGAATATTTACATTTCTTCCCAATCTCATAAGCCAGCTGTATTAAGCAGAACAATTACTAAAGCAATAATAGATATTAAGAAAAGGACACTTAACAGGTGGATAAACTGTTTGCCTACTGCTGCTGTTTATGCTTCAGTTTATTTCAGTAATCATACCTCAACAACATCTTAACCTTTTTCTTAGAGTGTGCATCTTGCTTATGGTAAGAAATGCAAATTGAAAAAAAGTTTCACACCTTTTAAACACCTTCCCAGCTTCCCTTTCCTCTAGATCAATGCCATTATTTCTTGGGAAAATTAGAAGGTGCTTTATTCAGGTGCAGGTTAAAATAGTGCTTCTGCTGTGCTTTACTCTTTTGGGGGAATTTAATTAACAGCACAGTGACTGTGCAGGGCATTTTACTACTGAGATGCTAAACTCCCACTCTACCCAGTGTGTCCAACCCTTGGAGGAAGTGCAGAAAAGGAAATAAACCTCCAGCCTGTCAGCCTCTGCAGTTTACATCATCAGCCCATTCCTTTTGTATGAAACAACTTTTTATCATTCATCTGTGCACCTTCAGTGTGCTGCCACACCTTCAGCATCTGTAGCAGAAGAGAAATAACCCTGTAGACTGTTAAGCAGTGGGAATTGATTTCCCTAGAAATAAGTGGGTTAACAGCATCCATCACCCCTGCTCTCCTTCTGTGGTACTGGAAATCAATCCTTATGTTCTCTGAAGAATCAGGCTGTGTGTTTGTATGTCTGTGTGTTTTAAGTCTGGAACTTCTTAACTGTGCTGGTTGTGCAGTAGCTGAGACCTGAAATGAGTGTCCCGCTCCTCGATTTTTAGCAGCTGGCGTACTCACACGTCCCTGACCAGAGCTGCGTTAGTTTCAAGTACAATAAACAGATAAAATGGAAGTTCCAGCAGCACAGCCACATTCCTGCTGGTGATTACAACCAAATGATGAAATGATGGCCTCCTTGTGTTCCATGGTGCTTTTGCCTTTAGTTCCTGGGTTTGGGTTTGTTTTCCAGAGCTGACGTGCTGTGGCTGCTGCGGGGTGCTTCCTGCAGCAGTTCTGGGGATTGAAGAGGCACAGGAAGTAGCTCCGGCAGCCTTTCCCAACATTTGGATAAACATGGAGGCTTTTGTTAAATTCCAAGGCTGATCCAATGTCAGTATAAATTGGCACAGCTTCCGTGGGCCTGTGTGAACTTGCACGAGGATACGATCCAACATTGCCCATTTTTGGGCCAGGTCCTTCAAACTCTTCACTCCAGTGCTCTGGGGACTTGCAGCAGGAGAACTTAGGCATGTGAGAGTAACAGGATGGGGTCCTGGGTATCACTGTGCTTCTTCCCTGTACCTTCTGAAGTGGGCTTGATGTTCCTCAGGTGCCCCAACATCTCCATGTGGAAGTTGGTGTTGCAGGACAGAGGATGGTGGTGCTGGTGATGGGGCAGAGTCACTCCATGCCTGACAACACTTGGCCACTGCCACCTCCATATGTGCCTGTCCCAGGAGCTGGGAGGTACCTGCTTCTCCAGAAGGGGAGAACGGGGCTGCAAAAGCCACTGGCAAAGAGCGAGCAGTTTCCAGGCAGGAGCTGTCACTTGGATAGTGGGCAGCAAGAAAGGAGGTTTTACTAGGGTCTTTGGTTTTATGTTTGAGGGGGTTATTTTTTTCTCTGTTTTCCCTTTTATTTTTTCTCCTGACCTTGGCTTTCCCTTTATTTGAAGGCTGCCAAAGCAGGGAAGCTGAGGCTGAGGAATGTGGGGGAGCTGACGGAAGGAGTCCTTCACACTGACGCCTTTTGTGCTGCAGTGTGTAAAAGACTGAGGCTGTCACTGAAATGCAAATGTGTGGCTTTTCACTGATTTAAGCTCCATTTTTTTTTTTCCAGTAAACAAGCAAGTGTTTTAAAGGCTGCTTCCATTCCATCCGACATTTTGCTGTGGCTTAGTGCTGACCTCAGTCAGTCACTGACAGCACATCACCATGAGCCTTGGGGCTGAGGAAGGATGGTACATCCCCTCTCAAGATGGGAAATGGAATGGAGACTGAAAGAGACAAAGGTGGAACTGGGCAATTTCCAAGTTTTTGGGTGATGGTCCTATATCCTGGGCTAGGCCAGGGCCTCCTAGCCTTGCTAAAGGGCACTTCCTCATGCTCATCCCTGCAGCACTCCCCAGTAAGAAATTCCATAGCAGATGGAAGTGTCACTGTCCCCTTTTTGATCTCTGAATAATTTTTTATATATATCCCCTGACAGATCTGACCCTGGAGATTGAACCGAAGAGCCATTTCTCATCACCAGGGAATGGGATCACCATAGTCCCCATCCCAGAAGCCAAAACATTTCAATATCCACTGGGTCTGGGGGATTATTATCTTGAGAGTTATGTCAACATTTATGTGAGAGCCCCAGCTCTTGTCCCTGCTTTTAAATACACCATTTTAGGCAGGGAAGCATATTTTCTGACCCACTGCTTGCTGCTTTGGGCCTGCAGCAGGACTTTGTAGTGGGAAACCTGCCTGCTGGGAACCAGCCCCTCTCACTTCTCTGCAAGCGTAACAGTCTCTTCCTCCCTTGTATCAGCTGATTTTTAAGAGAGAAAGTATTTCACTCCCAGCAGGCAGAGAAAGGGGAGGCCACCCATTAATGAGAGACAGAGATCTGAGCATGTCCCATTCCTCCTGGAGCTGCTGTTAGGGGATCCCATATGTCCCCAGCAGGGTGTCACCACAGTTTGATCCCACATGTCCCCAGCAGTAAATCACCACAGTTTCTGGGCTGCTGTGAACACGTCAGTGGGGTTGGTGAGTGCAAGCCCAGGCAGCACCACCACCCCTGATCCCTACCCAGAGGAGCCACGCTGTAGCTCCTGGAGAGGCTGGGATGGCTGTGTCACAGGGTAAAGTACAGGCAGGCTGTCCTGGTGGGTCCGTGTGGCTGACCTGGCTGTCCTCAACTTGTCCCTTGTACCATAGCTTGGGCTTGAAACACACCACATCCTAAAACCACCTTCTCTCCACACCATCACCAAGAGCAGCTGGGGCGCAGGGTCCTGTGCACATATGGGGGATGCTGGGTTTGGAGAAAGTGAATGCCATGCTGGAAGAGCACTCAAACCTCCTACACCTTGTCCCTCTCAGCTTCCCAGAAGACTACAGGTGGGGAAGGAACGCTGGAAGTCACCGATCCAAACCCGTGCTCAAAGCAGGGCACACATGGGGATGCCTCAGCTCTGCATGTCGCAGTGCTGGACACTTGAAGCACAGTTTAATCACCCGCTGTGAGTTATATTTCCCTCTTTCATCCAGTGGGAGTTTCCCCACTCTGGACACAGCCGTGTCGGGAGGTGGGTTACCCGGAGTGAATCCCACCCTTCCGCAGGGATTTGGGGGCGGATAAGGGGCTGGAAGGAAGGAAGGAAGGAAGGAACGAAGGAACGAAGGAACGAAGGAACGAAGGAAGCCGAGGAGCGCGATCCCTCGAGGGCTGGGGACAGCGAGTGGGAGCAGTGAAGCTGCGTGAGGTGCTGCGCAGAAATTACTCAACTCCTTAAAATTCCCCTCACGTCGCCATTGCTCCTCCCGTGCTCCCCCCAGCTGCTTTTTTTCTCTTCGCAGGCCCTGGCGTACCTGTTGGCGGTGTCCCGGCCGCCCCCGCTGCCGTCCCGCTGTCCAGAGGAGCGGGCTGTCCCCGCCGGCCGCCCGCGGCCCTCCGCGGCCGGGCCAGCAGCGCCGGCTCCTCCGGGGGCCGCCTCTGCCGCAGGCACCGCGACTGCCGGGCTCTCCCCGAGGGGGAGGGACCAAACTTTGCCTTAGTTTCCACCGGAGACAATCTTGTTGGGAGAAATCCTCCCCTGGGCCTGGAAAACATGCCCAACGCAGCCTGCGCCTCCCCGCGGAGCCGCGGCCGCCGGCGCTGGGCCGTGCCCGGTGCGGAGGGACAGGGACAGGGACAGAGGGACAGAGGGAACAGAGACAGGGACAGGGACAGGGACAGGGACAGAGACAGGGACAGGGACAGGGACAGGGACGTGTGGGGGCTCCTCTGTGAGTTCGGCGCCTCCCGGCTGGGGCTGGGTCAGGCACAGGAACCCCACGAGAAAATTCCCCCGGATGATTGCAACACCCCGTGGAGGAGCTGCAATGCCCGTGGCCGGGCGAGCAGCGGGGGATGGCGCTTTGGCTCAAGGTTGTGCTGTAAAAATACGTATCTTTTCCCCTGTCCTGATGAGAAGGGGATAACCACAGTCTAGGGAGGCAATTCCCCCTTTTGGGGTGGCTGAAGGGGGATTTAGCACAGGTCCCTACTTGCGGGGCAGATCTGTGCTCACCCCGCTTTGCATAGTCCTGGCATTTGCCCCCTCAGTAATGCTGAATTCAGGGAATTCACCTGAAAAACAATAACAAAAGATTAATTTAGCACCAGTAATAAAAGATTAATTTTGTGAGAGATTAACAGCTGTGAAATGCCCATATGAGCTTCAAGGCCAGCAAAGGGAGGCAGCAGGGGAGGAGGGGAGGTAGAATTTGGCTTGGTTTAAATTGCTTGGACTGTCCCCTTGGAGAGCTGCTGAGCTCCTGCCTCGGGATCAGCAGCTTCCCTTCCCTTTGGGTGTGGGTATGAGCTGAAGCTCATGAGGAAAAGTATAAGAAAGTTGTATGAAAAGGTCCAAGATGTTTTTTTTTCTCCTGTACTTTTGTCCAGCCCTCATTTCAGTGATGGGCTGTATGCATGAAAGTTTGGCATTTTCAGGATAGATTTGATGCTGTTGAAACGTGTTGGAGAACAAGTCAGAAGATCTCTTTTTAATCTAAAGGAACAGATTCTTTAAGGTTAGTGAGAGACAATGAGGAGAAGGAAGCAGTACACAGGTGTCTAGAGTAACAGAGATCCCATGATACTCAGTTGGCTGACTAGGGACTCCAGAATTTAATTTTCTTTTTAATCTATTCAGATTTTCCCAGACGTGCAGGAGTCAAACTCAGTAGAAGACAAATATGAGTCTTTCTTTTGGATCTTATCTACACAATCCAACCACCCAGGTGTGAAACAGGCTATGATTCTTAGTTTAAGACTATTCGTCCTTGCCCTATTGTCTCTTTTTATAAGCTTAATTATTATTATCCCTTTTTATAATTTTCAGCAAAGAACATCAGAGGATGCTTGCATAGATGTTTCTGTCATTGCAATAGAATGCCACCAGTAAGAGACCTGCAGCACTGGCAAGGGAGGAGCCAGTTCCCATGGTTAGTGAGCACAACAAACCCATGGCAAATGTTCAATGTGGCTTTAGCTACAAGTCCTTTATATAAAGGACTGCAGTTTGCTGCAGATTTCTGTGTCTACAGACCAAAACTCACCATCACTCTGTGATCACTGGTTTGAAGATAAATTTTTCCCCCCACCCCGACATTCCTTTTTCCTTATTTTTGGACGAATCTTGGTTTCTCACTGTGCCTGTCTCATTTTTAATCCAGGCGCTGCTTGACCTATTAAAGCTGCTGAGAGGAGCTGATACATCAGTGAACACCCACAGAACGACCATCCCTCTGTTACCAGGTGCCTTCCTGAAGAGTGCAGCATGACAGAGCTCCACGAAGCTGTGGCTGTGGGCGACTATGACTGGGTGAAAGAGATTTTGAAGGCAGGGCGCTGTGACCCAAACCAGAAGGATGTTGACTGGCATGACAGGACGCCCCTGCACTGGGCTGCTGCCAAAGGTGAGGGCACCCCCAGCTCTGCTACCTCTGTGAATGGACATCATAAAGGGTGATGCTGATCACCTGTGATTGTATCTAGGCTGGCAAAATCTCAGCTTGTATTTAGTAATATTGTCCCTAATGAGCAAAAAAAGGTTAAATATCCATTTAAATGGGAACTTTGCCTACAAAATAGTTTACGGGACTGCTGTTGAAGTGATTTTTACCTTTTTTTTTTTTCCATCGCACAACAATTTGCAATTTACATGATGTGCACATAGGGAATGACTGCTTTTCCCCCTTTACTTTTCTAAGAGATGACTCCATGAGTTTATTTCTCATGTACACCTGTGGGAAAGAGCAGGAAGTCAAACCCACTGTATTTACACCAGGTATTTATCAAACCTAATAGAACAAAATAATAACTGTGTTTTTACATTGCTCTTTAATCCCACCTGCTTGAATGAACAATGCAGATCCAGAGCAGTTTGCAGCTCCCATTTGGTCCTTCACCTTCAGAAGTGTCTGGTAAACTCAGATATCCCTTTGTAGCCCAAAAAAGAGATAATGCAACAATAAATAATGTATAATTGTACACTGTATAAAATGGGAAACTGGACCTCTACTTCGCTGTGCTACAGTACTTGATGGGATCTCATGACATGTCTCTGCTCAGAAATCAAGTGTGTGATTTCCTGTTTTACACTTAAGACCATGTTTTTCTTTTGTCCTAATGGATTATTAGGCATTTAAACATCAGCAAAAGGGACTGAGCTACTTAACAAAAAGGATGGCGAGAAGCTGATGAGAAGCCTAGATGTGATTTGGAATAGTCTAGCTCAGTCAAGGCAGTGGTGTAAAAATACCTTTTTTTTTTTTTTTGCTTCTTTAAGCAATTCCACTGGCTAGAAAAATGTGATGGTGAATGAAAAAGCTAGTTTCTCTACCTGCTATCCAAAAACCCCTTTGCTTTAGTAAAGCTGTTCACAGGTTTTCCCATTCTTAATATGTAAATTTTATTTTGCAATTGAACTAAAAACAAAAATGAAGCAGTGCAATAGCCAATTGGTCAATGACTAATTGAGATTTGCTGTTCAGAAATTAGAAAGCTTTTTGATATGGCTGTTGTTTTTGTTGTAAATTTCTTCTGGAAACAGTCTAGTTTGGGAGAAAATAACCAGCATTTTCTATTCAGCATCATAGATATGATAAACCAGATAGGTGGGTGAAATCCGTGTCTGAGGGAATTATGACCAGCTGTGTGTGACCGTCTTCTGCATCCTGAAGGTATAAATTCTAAAGTATCTTCTCTCCTGGTTTTGCTGCGCGTTGCCAGGACGGTCGGACCTGGTCAGGCTCCTGGTGGATCACGGTGCCCGGCACTGCCTGCGGAGCGATGTGGGCTGGACCGCGGCTCACTTCGCTGCCGAGGCGGGGAAGCTGCGGGTGCTCCGCGCCCTCCACTCCCTGCACGCTGCTATGGATGCCGCCGACCTCTTCGGAGACACTCCCCGGCGGTTCGCGGAGATCTACGGACACCGGGAGTGCTCCAAATTCCTGGAAAAGTGAGTAGTAGTGGCAGGGCCCGCTGCAGCTGCTGTGAATATTAACCTTACTGCTCCACAGAGGACCAGAACACACCCAGTGTGTTACTTATCTTCCCACCCAAAACCTGCTAAAGCCCTGACACACAAGCTGTAGTGGATGAGCAAACACGGGACTGTCACGGGGAAGCCGTGAGAAGACATTCTTTTATTCCTCTGCCTCCTGCGGTTTCCCTTGGTATGTTTTCAAAATCGTTACTACTTCATGACATCATTGTTTTTGTAAGGATGTTGCAGAGCCGTTATTAAGCAACAGAAATTAAAGCAACAACTGAGAAGTGTTAACCCCTTACAGTGGTGAATAGCAAATACACGGGTTGAGATGTTCAGGAAAAGCCCTCAGCAGTTTTGTAGGTTTGTATGTATATATATTTATATGTATATCATTTGGCTTTTCTTATAGTAAAAAAAAATAGCCACACTATTTTTTACCTAATCACTGTAAATTAGACCACTTAATAGGATGGTCACATAATACTTCCAAATTTTGGGAAAACCTGTGTTGTTTTAATTGCTTACCGTTAGCACTGTGGCAGCACATGCCATAAGAAATATGCTTTTTAATGGTTCCCAATTACCATTCCTGTTTTTCAGCTGTTGACTCAGCTCATGGGTATTTTCATCCTTACAAAGGTGTTTCCATGGATCAGGATGCTTTATTGCAGAGCTGTGATGCTTTATTGAGCTGTGTCCCATCCTGGATCTCTCTAAAGGAGTGGGACAGATCACTAGAGGCCAACCAGCTTCTTCAGTGAAAACCACAGTCCTAACACAGCTTTACTTAAATACTGCCCATGAAAGATATTATATGCCAGACCCTGGAGTGCTGAGAGCTCCCAAAAGTGTTTTCTCCCTGGGTTTTTCTGTGACTTTACAGTCCCATCATCATCCTTCACTGGCATCTCTTTTACCACTTCCACATTCTCAAGACTGCTTTGGTACCATGTATATCCCATATTTTTTTATAGGCATTTAACCAATTCAAAGACTTCAGTTTGCCAGTGCAGCACACAAACTACAAAGTTTGAAATCAGGCATGGTGACAGGCAAATATCTGAGAAGGCCAGTGCCTTACAAATGCCACTTTTCATTAATCCATATAAACTTTCCTATAGGTACTGCTGTCCTTCTGCTGTACTTCTTCAGCTTGGTTCCTGCTGAAATGTCCCATGTCCACCTTTTATCTTGACACATCTGAGTCCTTCAATAGGAAAAGACAACCAAACTGTGCAAAAATCCCCTGTACAGAGCCCAGAAAACTTTGTGGGAGAGGCACAAGCTCTGGTTTCCAAGCTCTGGCTGTTGGAAGCTCCTGATAGTTTTGCATTTTACCTGCCCACCCAACACAGAATCATAGAATGGTTGGAAGGGACCTTAAGCTCATCTCCTTCTAACCCCTTACCATAGACAGGGACACCTTCCACTAGACCAGATTGCTCAAAGCCCTTTCCAATGTGATGGAACTGAACACTGACAGAATGGGGCATCCAGACCATCTTGGAGCTAAAAGTCTCTTTGGTTTTGGAACTGACATGCTGTAATCTCCCACTGTTTGTCACTTTTCTTCCACACAGATGTATCAGCTCTTCTTACTCTCAGACCTTCAGTTTAAAGGCATTTAGGCAATCAGCAGCTGATAATGAAGCTTTGCAAATTAGATTTCCTTACTACCTAGATAGTGTCTAGGTAGCAAAGCTCAGGTCTGCCAGATCTTTGAGAATGGGGCATTGTCTTCCAGTAGATTCTCTTTATACTCTTCTCAGCTCTTAGCATATTTAATTTCTATATCAGAACAAGTAAATATTATCTAACCTACAGGGTGAAAGTCTGCAGACTTCTGCCCCTGGATGAATAATTTGTAGCAATTACTTGCCTAGTCTATGCTGTATTTTTGTACTAATCTCACCAGTAATTCCTGCCAGGTCTGTAACATTTGCTGTGCCCTGGATGTGCTCCAGAGCCATGGGAGCAAGCTGACAGCAGGGGTAGGGAAATTGCCTTGATGATGCCAAAGGGCAATGCCTGTGGCAGGCAGAGGTGCCTGGGAGAATGATTGACAGGTTGACTGACAGAATGATTGACATCCTGGTCTGAGGTACCTTAGCAACAGCCTGTGGTGACTCAGGTCAGCTGATGAAGGGCTTTCTGAGGTGAATGACTGATTTAAGGTGGAAAACTTGTCTTTCAGAACCACATGCTGGCTTGACTCACTCCACAGCATGGCTCAGCATGGCTGGGAGATCTAATGGCTAGGAAGATGCTTCAAATGTCCAGTCTAGAACATTTTATAACATGCACAAAGCCTGTACAATTACCTCATGGTCATAACCCAGCCTGTAAGCAGCCAAGAGTTTATCACTGAGACACAGGAATACTTCTTAAAACCAGCCACTATAAGTTATGACCACAGTGGATGCTTTCACCCTCATACACTGGCCTCAAATCAGCACACTTGGAGTAAACTAGAAAGAACAGTTGTCACTTGTAGTATAATTTCAATTACTGTCTGCTCCATTAGATGTGCAGAAGGTCCCAGAGGTGATGTCCAGGGTCAGGCAGTGCCCAAAGGTACAAGGCAATACTGTGTATGCTGCAGACAGAGAATTAAGACTGTGCTTGCACAAAATGCTGCTCAGCACAGAGCAGCTCTGCCTTCTACTCAGCGGTGTGTGTGGGATATAAATATGAGGAACATTTTGTTACACACCATCCCTGTCAGTTTTGGATATTTGCCTGCCATGCAAAAAGAGAGAAGAGGCAATTTTTAAAACCATCTGAGGGTCTGCACCAATTTCAGGGCTAGTGTGCATATCTACACAGGCATATGGGCATTCAAATGCTTCCTGAATCCAAATTCAGCCCCCTCTAGCACCACATGACCCTTGCATGTGGTTTGTTGGTCCCCAGGTGTTGCCAGCTGCATGGGATGGACCACTGAATTGTGCTGAAGACTGCAGCCACGTGGAAATATTATATGTATCAACATGGAAATATTATTAACATGCAAATATTAGGAATATTCCGCTGCTGAGTATCAGTACCACTCACTGAGGTTTGCATGGACATGCAAAAGTTAGGAAACAGCTGCTTTCAAAACAGCTGCTTCTGAATAGCAAATGCATATTTTGCATTAGATTTGGCCTGCATGAGAAGGGCTTTACTCTTGATGCTATGAGACCTGCCAAGAATGGCACAGAGACCCTCAGCCTGTGTCTGCTGCCAACCTCTCTGCAAAGTGCCAGCTGTTGAAACTGTACCAAAGGGTCCTGCTGTCTAAGACAAGGGCATATATATATTCATGTGTAAATAAATAAATAAATAAATAAATAAATGTTTATATTTAAAAGTTTATAGAAAAAGGTTTCTTGCCCTTGGGAGCAGACACTTAATAGAAGACAATAGGGTAATTCAGTTAGAAGGGACCTACTGCTAGTCCTATAGCCTGACCACTTCAGGACTGACCAGGATTTAGAGCATCTTATGAAGGGCACTTTCCAAATGTCTCTTAAGCACCAGCAGCCATGGGGCATCAACCACCACTCTCAAACATAGGCTTTGTGGAGACCTTACAGCCCCTTTCAGTACCTGAAGAGAGCCTACAAAACAGCTGGAGAGGGACTTTGGACAAGGGCATGGACAAAAGGGAATGGCCTGGGTAGGTAGGATTAGATATATTAGGAATAAATTCTTGACTGTGAGGGTGGTGAGGCCCTGGCACAGGTTGTCCAGAGGAGCTGTGGCTGCCCCATCCCTGGAAGTGTTCAAGGCCAAGCTGGACAGGGCTTGGAGAAACCAGGTGTAGAGGAAGATGTTCCTGTCCATGGCAGAAGGTATGGAATGAGATAATGTCTAAGATCCCTTCCAACCCAGAGCATTCTGTGATTCTATGACATATAAAGCCCATGGCCCATGTGATGAGATCCATCAATATGGAGCTGCTGGCTTTGCTCTGTGCTGTCAGGATTGCACTCATATGACAGAAATACTCTATTATAGAAAAAAAGGATTTTTCCTGATATTGGATAGTGTTTCTGACAGAGATTGCTGAGTCCTGAGTGCCTACAAAATCAGAGCCCAGCAGGAGGAAGAAAGACGTTGTCTTCTGGGCAAGATTTACACATGGAATGTCCATGTCTGGATCCAGGCAGTGCTGGGGCTCAGGGGGGTCCCTGAGAGGGGAGGCTGGGGCTGCACCATGCTGGGCACACTGTGGTGTTTCTCAAGTGTTGGTGGCATCAGGGTTTTGACCAGCCCTGACCCTGTGGATGGGCCCCTGCGAACAGAGATGTCTGTGTGCTGTGCTCACTCTTGGTTTCTCTCCCAGAGCAGAGGTGGAGTGCAGGAACTACCGCAGGAAAGCTGAACTGAGAAAAATCCCCTTAGACCAGAGAGATGAAGACTGGGAACTCAAGAAAGAAGAGCTTAAGAAAAATCCACCATGTTTTTGGGAGAAGTGTACAGACTCTATTCTAAAGAAAAATGTGAAAAAAAAGGGGAAGCAGTAGTGTGCCCTGCCTGTTTGATGCCTCTAGTGCTTGTAATGCAGAACAAAGGCACTGGCAAACTTCAGGTGGATCTGCAGTGTGATATTTGGGTGAATGGAAGAAGAAGAAGGCTACAAGAGTGCATCCTTAGAGATAAACTGTAAACAATCTCCTTAAGAGCTAAAAGTGCTTCAGCCTCTCTGTGTATTTCTATGTATCTGATCTCAAAAATAAAAACAACTGAAGAATATGTTTAAACATACCAATACTCTAAATCACTGCAATGGCAGCAGTTACCCATATTATCAGGGAAGAATTAGTCTTGATGCTACCTGATTCACAAAAGCATCTTGGACTGTAGTTCTGCTTGCTCTGCTGATGTCTGTGTGGCCTTTGCTTCTTTGCTTCTGTCACTGAGTCAACCAGGAGACTCCAGATGGACTTGCAGCCTCTGGTGATTCCTGTCTCTTTTTTTGGAAGTGGAATGTAGTTGCTTCTTCTGGATGAAGCTGAGATATTAATGTTGAGCTTTCACTGGACACATGGATCCAACAGCCTGAATCTTCCATTCCTGGCCCAGCAAAAGGGAAAATATGCTTCTTCCTTGCTGCTTTCAGACAGCTGTGACTGCCAAGGGTATTGGAGCGCTGCCTTTTTTGAGCATTGCCCCCAGGCATTTTTATGTTTCTGCAAGTAGGAATAGTGTGCAACTGGTGCTGAGCTCTGCTTCTGCTCATCAATGCTTTTCTATGGTGAAAGCATTTTTAACATTTTCACTTCTCAGTCATAAAATTTGGAATGTGACCCAGAGCAGTTTTCCATACCATGTCAGCACTGGGCAGCCACTCTCATTGACTTCTGACATCTCTCATGTGTCAGCTTCCCTGGGCTGGGCACATCCTGCATCTGTCCCCATGGGCTGTGCAGGGCAGCTGTGCTGATGGACACTCTGTCCCTTCCAGTGCCAGCTGAGTGGGGCTGGGCAACAGGACAGGGATTCTGAGCTGGGTGTCACATTCCCAGGGGTTTCAGGGGATGCAAGGAGGGACCCCGGTGTGGTTTGCTGGGGCTGTGGTGTTTTGTGTGGTAACATCTGCAAGGTGCTGGATTTTCCTGCTAAGTCTTGCAGAATATGAGGTTGTGAGGGATGGATGTTGTACTGCATGTAGGAAATAAGATGGATCTTCCAGGGCTTTCCTGTGAAAGTGGTCAGGACTGTCAGGTTAAAGGATGTTCATGAGCAGCAGCAGAGGAAGAAGGGAGGTGTGGCTGTTCCTGTCCTTTCAAGGCCTTTCACAGGGGAGATGTGTCCAGAAGAGATGCTTACGATGTGCCTTTGGATCTGAGCTGGTGGCAGAAGTGACCAGTTCAGGTACTGCTCTGTTCTGCATGTTTCACCTGCTGTGCTGGGGTGGGTTGACCTTAGGGAGCAGCCAGACGCCGACCCAGCTGCTCCTTCACTGTCACCCATAAACAGGGTGAAAGATGGAAAAGCTGATGGATAAAGACAGTGAAATCACTCACCAGTTACTGTCACAGACAAAACAGACTTGATGTGCAGAAAATGAATTTATTTACCTACTGAAAGTACAGTACAATGATGAGAAACAAAAACAAACTAGAACCTGCTGCCTCCACCACCCTTTCATCTGAGGCTCAACTTCACTCCATCATCCCTAGCTCCTCCACCTCCTCCCCCACAGCAGCACAGGGGGAAGGAAAATGAAAGTGCAGTCAGTTCATAGTGAGTTGTCTCCTCCACTCCCTTTTCATGCTGTTCCTGATCCAGAACAAAACTTGTGTGTTTCACTGAGCCAGAGTGCACTGGGAAAAGCCAATCTCATCTCCAGGTCAGGCCAGGAGAGCAGTGACACAGAGCAGGCAATCCTGTCCTTGCAGGCAGTGGGCACAGAGGACACGCAGGGCTGGAGTGGGCAGGGGGCTCTGCGTGTTCACACAAAGCTATCAGCCACTGCCAGACAGGGATACAGCCCATAATACACCACACAGCACAGGAAAGGTAAACTAAAATAGAGATAAACCCTGCAGTTAATTTCAGTTGTTTCTATGACAAAATGCCAGAGCATTTGGTGGCCGGTTTGCAGTATCATTATTACCCTTTTACAGCCAGCTCCTGTACCAGGTCCATATAACTTTGTTATTGACAATAATTAAACTCAAAGAATTACCTACATGAAATTATAATTGAAAACATATTATGTAAATCACATTAATTTAGGTCATAGTATTTGAATTATATATTCTTAACATTTGTATCATCTACAATGCTTGGAAAGTTGCATTAGAGATTAAACAATTTGTTTTCTATAATGAAATATTACCATTTTGTATGCACTCCAGATTGTATTAGAGTTCCTAACTCATGCAACCCTTGTGCTTTACACTTCTTTCTCAGGGAAGAATCTTTAGTAGTGTCTTTTCCAGCTTGGGATTGCTGAAAACCAGAATAAAGGAGTGAAGACCCGGAAAAGTGTACTGAAATACTACAATGAGAACTGTCATATAATTTCCCTTCCTTGTGACATAAACCATACTTAAGACCAAACATACAAAGTTGATGCTGTACATCACTAAGAAGGAGAGAATAGATTTCATGGCTTTGATGTGGGCATCCACGCTGAGGCTGTTCATGGAGTTTGTCTGCATGTTGCGCTTGTGTCTCCAGAGAGAAAAGAGAAGGAAAACAGCAGAAAAGATGACTGCCATGAATGAAACAGCATATTCAAAGCCAGCGAAAAAAAAAGAAGGGAAAAAATGTTTATCCATTTTGATAACTGCTGTCCCAAAATTACCTTGTCCAGTGGAATTGCTGTTGTTGCAGTGCGGTTTGGCAGCGATGTCATAGGCAACTATGCCAGCAGTCAAAGCTAAAATCCCTGACCCCAACAAAAGCCAGGGCACCATACTGTCAATTCTTACTTTCAGGTAGATGAAGGACCTGTTCCTGAAATTGGCAATTTTTATACAATAAAAAGCACAAAGACAGGCAGAAAACCACAAGTTGCAATTATCAAAAAAGGCTTGAAACAATATAGTTAGTTGAAGTATGGTTGGAACATAAAGGTAATTGGGATAAATAAATGAAAGGAATTTATATATCCATGTGATGCATAAATAGCAAAACCTAGAGCATCCAAGTAGCAGCAAGATCTTCTCATTAGAGTTCAGAGTTTTCTTTTTGACCCAGGCAATGCAAAGCACACAAA